TTGTTTCTTCCAAAATATCCATAGCATATTTCCGCTGAGAAATCACCAAACCATCTTTAGATTGGGCTACCTCAATACCCAAGAAATACCGGAGTTTACCAAGATCCTTTGTCTGAAATTGATTTGAAATATGTTGTTTCAACTGGAGTATTCCCGACTCATCACTACCAGTTATGACAATATCATCTACATACACAATAAGATAAATACACACGATAAAAGACAAAATGGTCAGCTTCACTACGGACCATACTAAATTGTTGTACTACAATGCTGAATTTGCCAAACCAAGCTCTCAGAGATTTCTTAAGACCATAAAGAGACCTGTGTAGCCTACAAACCATATTCGATGACTCCCCCTGAGCAACAAACCCAGGTGGTTGCTCCATATATACTTCCTCTTCAAGATCACCATGTAAAAATGCATTTTTGATGTCAAGATGGTGAAGAGGCCAATGTCGAATGGATGCAATGGCTAGAAGAAGTCTAACAAATGCCATCTTGGCTACAGGCGAGAAGGTATCACTATAATCCAACCCAAAAATCTGAGTGTATCCCTTGGCTACCAAGCGAGCTTTAAAACGATCAATCTTACCATCTGGACCAACCTTCACTGTATAAAGCCAACGACAACCTACTAAAGATTTTCCAGTGGGTAGAGGAACCAGTTCCCAGGTACCACTGCTTTGAAGAGCACATATTTCATCAAGCGTTGTTTGCCTCCACTCAGGGTGAGATAATGCTTCACCTGGAGATTTAGGAATAGAAACAGAAGACAAAGAGGACAAACAAGTATACTGCAAAGGGGAAAGACGATGATAACATAAATCAATATAATGTGGAGAAGGATTTCGTGTTTGACGTATACCTTTATGAAGGGCAATCGGAAGATCAGACTCAGGTTGCAGGACCGAATCCGATGATGGCGATAGCGTCGGAGGAGAGTCTTCAATGACCTTAGGGACAGGTACGACCTCAGGGACATGTACAACCTCAGGGACAGGTATGACGGACGTTGGTTTACGACGCTAATATGTTTGAAGTGGGCGAGAAGTGGGGGGTCAACCGTAGGGGTTTCTCATGGGACAGGTTCCCTAGAATGATGGGGAATAATGGGAAATGGGACGTCCGGAAGAGGTGTGGGAGTACTTTCCTGAAGGGGTTCCGGAGTGACTTAGGTGGACGCAAAATATGGCACAAACTCGAAGAAGGTAACATCGGCCGATATCAGGTATCGTTGCAGAGTGTGTGAGTAGCAACGATAACCCTTTTTGGATCGATGATAACCAAGAAGACACACTTTTGTGATCGAGCTGATAGTTTATCAAGACCAGGGGAGAGATTATGCACAAAACATGTAGACCCAGAGACTCAAGGAGGAATTGGATGAAGAGGAGAGTTTGGAAACAAGATTGAATGGGGGATTTTATTATTAAGGACAGATGAGGGCATGAGATTTATGAGATAACACGCTGTGAGCACAATATCCCCCCAAAATCTAAGAGGGACATTACCATGGAGAAGTAGAGTCCGAGTTTGAAATTGTTGGGATAAATATTCACGAGCATTGTCACTTCTTAAGGTACGAATGGACAAACCAAACTGGGTTCTTATTTCTCGATAAAATTGTTCAAAAATAGAAAATAATTCAGATCTGTTTTTCATTAAAAATAGCCACGTGCAACGTGAAAAATCATCAATAAATGTTATAAAATACCTAGACTCAAAAGTAGACACAGTACGCGATGGACCCCAAACATCAGAGTGAACTAAAGCAAAAGGAGACGCAACCCATTTATTGACTCGATCAGGAAAGTGACTACGAGTATGTTTCCCTAATTGACAAGACTCACACTGTAAAGTGGATAATTTAGATAAACTGGGCACCAACTTTTGTAGCTTGGGAAGACTTGGATGACCTAACTGCGCATGTATAATGAGTGGAGAATCTGTGGTGGAGTATGTGGTAGATGACATAGAGAAGTAGTAGAGGCCTTGAGACTCACATCTAACGCCAATCGTCTGTCCCGAACTTCGATCTTGCAGAATAACATCACTGTTAGTAAAAGTGATAAAACAATTAAGGGAACGAGTTAAACGACTGACTGACAGTAGATTAAATGGGCAATTAGGTACATATAGGACAGAAGTAACAAAGAGAGATGGTAGAATTTGAACAGTATCGATCCCTTGGGATCGGGTTTGAGAACCATTTGCGGAAGTTATACTCGGTAAGAAACCAGATGTAGAAAGGGAAGAGAAAAGATTTTTATTACCGATAACATGATCAGACACACCAGAGTCGAGGACCCAAGGACCAAAAGGAGATGATTGAGAGACATAAACAGATGAATTACCAGTGTGTGCAATCGAAGCCATGGAACCAAAGGTCTGATTAGTCTGACACCACCTGAGAAAATCCTCGTAGCTTGGCGTATGGTTCTGAAGAGAAGGTGATGTCTGCATAGTGTACGACTTTCCGAGAGTACAACTTTGTGTGAGTCAAAAACGAAAACCGAGGGCGGATCTGGAACCGGAGAAGGAATGCGAATTTCTGAGAGAGAACAATTTTTTTTTCGTGAACAGTAGCAGCGGCGGTGAACAATAGTCCTCTAAAATTTTTTTTTTCGTGGACTGTGCTTGGCGAAGGTCGTTGGAAAAAAAGGTGAGGCAAACCGGAATGATGACACGATTTACAGAAGAAAATTTCTCACTGGAAGACAGTGGGTCAACCGGGTAAAACACGGCGAAGAATTGCCTCTTAGAAGACTCTAGATACCATATTGAATTAGGAGAGACTAAGAGACATTTAGGTTAAATTGTGTGTCATGAAAGCACTATGGAGACTTTATTATATATAGAGAGATTACAACTAATTACACTATATAATCGATGTGATATTATTCTACATACAAATATTCTTAACATTATATATTTACAAATATCAACATAAAGCATAACACCGATCAATAGTGTGACCAAGCTTATGATAATGATCGCACTTAGGACAAGACTTTCCTGTCTTCTGAAAGTAGCCACGATCACCACCCGGAGCACGTTTACCTCCTTGAGAAACCAAAGCAGATGAATCAACTGGTGTGGGTGGGACTCCGCCGTCAGATGATGGTTTTGCTGGGACACGCAACAAAGTAGACCATGAAGTATCCAGAGTGGGGATTGTAGGAGACCCCAATATCTGATCGCGAACAGACAAATACACTGGAGGTAGGCCATACAGAGCTAGAAGCATGAAGAAGGATCGACGTTGTTCAAGTTCCTTAGCAGTGGTAGCAGTTGAGGACAATAATTCATTGAAATCATGAAGAAGACCTTGAACACGACCCGAGTATTCATCCATAGAACCATCCAGGTGACGAGGGGAAATAATATTCTGCAAATTTTGACACACTCCATGTAAGCGTTGTGTATCATTGGTATAAAGGATCTTAGCCTGTGCCCAAACAGATTCGCAAGTCTCATGAGAATGAAAGATCTATTTCAAGGATGGACTAATGGTCGACTTAATGAGACTGCAAAGTTGAGCATCAATTTTCTTCCAACGAGCATTATCAGTGGCAGCCATCGAGTCAGCCTTCGAAGTGAGGTGATCTTCATAGGCCTGTCCCCGAAGTCATAACTTGACGTCGGAAGCCCAAGAATCATAGTTAGTACCGTCCAATTTGTCAACGGCAAGAGGAGTAGTGATATAACTTGTGAAAATAGGGGCCTCAGTCCTTGAAGGGGGAATGGAGGACATGAATTCCAAAAACGGTGAGAGAAGTGACCAAAAAATGAAAGATTTGAGAAGGAATATCGGAAAACGGAGATGAAGCACGGTTATCAAAAAAAAATTGGCGCCGATAGATAGTGGATCTACCGGGAAAGCACGGATTATGGTTGCCTCTTGTTAGGCTCTAGATACCATGTTGAATAATGAGAGAACAAGAGGAAGGTTGGATTGAATCCGTGTGTGTGAATTACACATCGGAGCTCATTATATATAATAGGAGGCATAAATGTCATAGTAATTACATAATATTCTATAATAATTACATAATATTCTATTTCCTATTTACATGATATCCTAATTACTTACAAAATATTTTATTTACATAATATGGAATATTCCGATATCTAACAACAGAATTAAGAAACATACAAGTATCAGTGATTTCTGGGATCATTGAGTTCCATAGCCATGCCATGATCATAGAGTCCTCTTCGTCCCATTTTTTAAATTTGGGATCTCCTTCTTTAGGGGGCGTCATCAGTCAAGTGGTTAGCTTTCCCTTTACCTTTCAAAGTTCTGCCAACAAGCTGGGACCATTTCAAGTAATTCTTCCCATTCAATCGGTAGGCAGTGTTGATGTTCTGCAGCTCTTCCTGAGTTTTCTGCACCACTTCATGAGTTGGGTTTGCCATGGCCACAGCAGTACAACAACCTCAATGCAGAGGCGGCTCCCAAAATTTGAGAGCTCTAATACCATCTCAAAAATTAGGGTAGAATGAATTGATTTTTTTATTATTTATGCTGAGAATACATCAGTCATATATACAAGGCTAGAAAGTTATTTTAAGAAATACAATAACACCTAAACTATCGGATCCCTATGATTCAGGGATATTTCCCTCGTACACTATAATTGTAATCTGCTAAATAAGGAAATAATACAACTAATAAAACACTGATTCTGACAGAAATAATACAGCTAATAAAACAGATTCTAACAAAATCCATCACAACTCCCAGCCCCAATGCAAATGGTGGTTGTAACAAACACTTTGTTTATTTTTATTCAATTTGGCAGATGCACATTTATCTTATTCTTAGCAGAATACAATACAAATACAAGAATATATGATCATCAAGATTGATCTTTACCTTTAAATTTGCTTCCTTTTGTTGTGCTAATTCAAAAAATAAAATACTTTTGTATTCTAATTTATCCTCTAGGTTTTGGGTTCCAGTCTAATTTAACCCATGACGCCTTAACATTTTTTCAAACAGATTCAAGCCAAAAGGAATAAGCCCAATGCTGCCACCAATTTTCAATCAGATAACGGACAGAAGAATAGCAAAAACCAGTGCTGCCACAAAAGAAAACTCCTTCCTTCAGTTTTAACATGATACCGACATCAAAATCTCGCCATATCTTAACACAACCAAAGTGATATTGACGTCAAAATGTTAACATACTTTAACACAAACACAACAAAACTAACATCAAGATATTACACTTAGATTCAACACAAGATAGTTCACAATACCATACAAACCTCACAGGTTCATATTTAACATAACAGTCCAGAGATAGTTAAACTATGAAGATGGTGAAATCAAAACTTACCAACTCAGAGGCGAAGCCACAAATTAGCCGCGGCAAAGAGAATCGGCGGACAGTGGTGGAAGATGATGGTGTTGAGCTCGTTGAACAGAGCATTTCGTCGAACATATGGAGCACAACAACTAGATATATATTTACACAAAGCTCTTCTTTCATCTCACATTCACCCATTTCTAATATCAAATTCCATAAGTTTTTTTTTTCGAAATCCAATAGCAGTTTGAAATTCGTAGAGAACAGAAACAACAATGAAAGTATAAAACTTACCGAGTGAAATTTCAGAATAATAAGACGGTGGCAACTTGGAAGAGAGTGATTATTCTTTAACAGTGATTCAGTTGGAGATAGCGATCAACTCTAAGTTCTCAAAAATGGTGAAAACTGAAAATGAGTGTGAATCTGGAAGCAGAGAAGCGAAGAGAAGAGTGAGATGAGAAGAAAAATATCGTGTATTTGAATTGTTAAGGTTCACTGGCAAATTTGTATTTTTTTTTTAAAATTTTAAGTCGGGGTATTTTAATATTTTCCACGCACAATACAGCACATGCATATGAATGACGCCTTGAATGATTTAGTCAGTTTAATTCAGTTTAGTTATATAGTTCGACTATTAATTCAAGTCGTTTGATCAATGAGCTAATAATTTAATATTTCCACTGATTTGATTGAACATCGATCCAATTTTTAAAATAATAAATATATATGTACAGGACCGACCCAATCAAATTAAAAGTTTTGTTCTAATTTATTGAATTTTTTTATAACATTTTTTATATATATGTTAATTTTAATATAAAAATAATTAGACTTTTCATAAATTAGGGATCTTCCAAAATTTGAGGCCTTTTGTTTTGGAGTTTGTTGCTCCTACATAGGACTAGACATGTATATGAATGATGTGTTAATATGATATAAGTTATTCAGTGTAATATGACTTACTCACGCGGTTCGATTAGTGATCTAATAGTTAAAATAATAAACTAATAGCTAAGTACTTCACGGTTTGATCGATGATCTGGTTTTTAAAACATTAGAATGTAATATGTTAAGGTTGAGTGACAAAAATGTAATTTTTATTTTGAGTGGTATTTTAGCTTCTTTTTTTTCACGCAGAACACACACATAATGATGGATTGATTCTGTTTGTGTTGATGGATACATGCACGTACATCGACAACTCTTGATGTACCTCATTAATTGTACTCACAACAAAGACATCCTCAAAGACCGAATCCTCCATACACGTATCTTCAAAAACGGTTCCCTCTATTCCATTTATATCGCCTAAAACTTAGGTATTTGAAATTTTTAATAAGACCAAATATTTAAAAACACATTGAACATTACAAGGTACCCTCACTAGAGCAGGCTGATGGTTATAACCAATGGAGGACGAAGAGATTTAAGGTTTTCCTCGAAATAAGCAACTATATTTCTATTCTTAAACTATGAAATTTATAGATACACTTTCACCTGAGCACAAGGCTAGCCCAAATAAAAAGATAATACAAAGCATTCCACTAGCATGTAACACTGCCCAAAAATTGAGAACCAGAACCTCTAGCCATAACCCAACAAGACAAAGCCAAACAAAGGCAGAAACACTCTAACTAAATAACCAAATGTCACACAAAACTGACTACATCTCAAACATGACAGCAATCCCCTACAGAGAAGGCAAGCAGACCATCAAAAACTTTCCAACCCACAAAACCAAATTCTAAAACAACAAAAGAAAAACATTCCTTTATAAAACAAACCAAAAACTTAAACTTAAGCTCCAAAGAAACATTAGCTCAGTGGGCAGCTCATAATTAGGATCGTGCATGGTTTTAAAATTGTTCTAGCATAGAACAATATTCGACCGACTTTCCCACTTAAAGTAGGGACAACCACCAAAGTAGGTTTGTAGAATGATTGGAGATTTGGGAGCTACGTCGATAATGCGTATTATTCCAAGAAGAATGTCTTGCTTATATTAATTGCTAGATGAATGTTAGTAGGCGTGCATGATAAGATCTAAAAACAAACGGTAGAAAATCCTAAATGTTCAAAGATAAATAAATGAAACACGACACACTCGCACACGCGCACCTCTAAGGGACCTCCACATGTTGCCTTCAGATAAATAAACAATCACGACTCTCGAACGTAAGAGATTTTAGTGGTGACCCTTTGATTTAAAGATCATTAGTCCCTCGATGACCCTTTCGACGTTGCCTCGGTGAATGATCTTAAAAACTTAGGGTAATTACTAAAGTATCTTACTAGTTGCTGTTAGAACATAGTTTGATTCTACAACCCTTGATTAGAGTTTTGATGATAACAAAATACAAAGAATAAATAAATCCAAAGATATATACAAAGAACAAAAATGCTACTTAAAATTATGTTTTGTATATGCAAAAGTTCTGATGGAATCAGCATCAGAAGATCAGTAATATGTGCTACACGCTGAAGCTACCAGATTATACGCTGAAGTTTGATGACCAGAATCTGCGCCTAAACAAATACACTCTGACTCTGAACAAAGACATCTTTACCAAGTCATCAACACTCTGAAGCGTTATCAACAATTATAGCAAAGAAGACTCTGAAGTGTTACTGGTTATTTAAGACGGAATTAAATGCTAACGGCTTTCTTCAGACAAGATCTTCTTCAAAAGGAAAGTGTGTTATTATCATTAAACTTGCTTTATGGACAACAGTCTTGCCTTGCCTATATAAACAAGTCTGCTTGTGAAAATAAGCACGTACGTACGCACTCAACAATTTGCCAAGCTATCCAAACCACGCATATTCAAAGCTTTAGCAAATTCATTTTACTCCAAGCTTAATTTGTGTAATTATCACAATTGTGATATATTGTTTTGTTAGAAAACGTTAACACACTCTTGTTCAATTATTTGTAAAAGATTTCCTTGAGATAAACCGGTATGTGGTTATACTCAAGAAGACTTTAACATTTGTTAAAGTAGCTGTTGTAATCCTTTGAGAATAGTGGATTAAGACCTCGTTGGAGAGAGGAGAAATCACCTTGACGGGTGGACTGGAGTAGTTTGAGATCAAACAAACTAGGATAAAAATACTGTGTTGTTAAGCCTTTTGATTAAGTTTTTTTTCAATTCAACCCCCCCTTCTTGTGTTTTTCACATCTTCAATTGGCATCAGAGCGCCTGGTTCTGAGCTTTAACACTTAACCGTGTCAGTACAAGATCCAGCGTCAGAAAAACACAATGGCAGGACCAAGTCAAAACATCAGCAATGACAACAATGAAGAAAGGGACAGATTCAGTGGCAAACCTCCAGTATTTGATGGAGAAAACTTTGACTACTGGAAAGACAGAATTGAGAGTTTCTTTCTGGCCCATGATGCTGATCTATGGGACACGGTGACTGATGGATACACGCACCCAGTGGATGGACGTGGTCAGAAGATTGACAGGAAAATGATGTCTGATCAGCAAAAGCGTGAGTTCAGAAATCATCACAAGGCCAGAACAATTCTTCTCAGCGCCATCTCATATTCAGAATATGAGAAAATATCAAACAGAGAAACTGCCAAGAATATGTTTGATTCTCCGAGAATGACGCATGAAGGCAACATTCAAGTCAAAGAAACCAAAGCCCTTGCGCTCATTCAGAAGTATGAGGCATTCAAGATGGAAGATAGTGAATCAATAGAAGTTATGTTTTCAAGATTCCAAATTCTTGTTGCTGGTCTAAAAGTTCTTGACAAAGGATATTCCACTGCTGATCACGTTAAGAAGATCATCAAAAGCTTGCCAAAACAGTGGAGGCCAATGGTCACAGCGCTTAAGCTAGCCAAGGATCTCAACAAAATCTCTCTGGAAGAACTTGTCAACTCCCTCAGAAGTCACGAGATAGAGCTAGAAGCAGATGAACCTCAAAAGAAAGGTAAGCCATTAGCTTTAAAATCTAACATAAAATCTGACTCCAAAGTTTTGCAGGTTGTGGAAGAAACCTCTGATGGATCCTCATCAGAAGAAGACGAACTGTCTCTCCTCTCCAGAAGGGTGAACCAACTGTGGAAACAGAGGCAAAGGAAGTTCAGGAATCCCAAAAGATCAGAAAATCAGAATGAATCTTCCTCCAGATACAGAAGGTCAGAATTCTCCTCTGGACACAGAAGATCTGAAGGCTCTTCAGGATATAGAAAGCCAAACAACAAAGACATCATATGCTATGAGTGTAACGAGCAAGGGAACTACAAAAGTGATTGCCCAAAGCTTCAGAAGGAGAAGCCCAAAAAGAAGTTTGGCAAGGAAAAGAAGAAAAGTCTCATGGCTACATGGGATGATTCTGACACATCTGAAGTTGACTCAGAATCAGATGATGAAAGAGCAAACATAGCTCTAATGGAAAACGTCTCTAAAGACAGTGAAGCTTCTGGTTCAGACTCAGAATCAGATACAGAAGAGGTATTCCCTGACTTTACTATAAACTTTACTAAGGTTGAACTAGCTGAAAGCCTTAATGAAATTTTGGAAAGGTATCAGCAGATCAGAGTCAAATTCAGAAACCTGAAAAGGAATCTTGCTTCTGACTCTGATAAGACTGAGAGTCTCAGATTTGAGAATTCTGAGTTAAAAGATAAAATTTCAAAATTAGAAAACCAATTGCAAAACTCTCAGAAGGAAACAATCCCTGAAACTCCTAGCAATGCTGATGAGATCATCAAAGAGTATGATCACAGCTTTCAGAAGTTTCTGGCTAAAAACATAGACAGAAGCAAAATGGCTTCAATGATCTATGGAGTTAGCAGAAATGGCAGAAAAGGGATAGGATATCAAGGTAAGGTTCCTACACCAAAAAATGCCATGGATTTTGTTATAAAACGTACTCCACTTGATTCACACTTTATATATGGGCACACACATGACATAAAATATACAAGTAGTGATTACTCTGTCAAACCAAAATTCAACCAGAGTTTTGGTAAAACTAACAAATCAGGACCCAAGAAAATGTGGGTACCTAAGGATAAAATAATACATGTGGCAGATATCTTTAGCAGCAAAGCAAAGACACCAGTCATGGTACCTGGACTCTGGCTGCTCACGACACATGACAGGAAGAAGGCATATGTTCCAAAGCCTGGAACTTAAGCCTGGAGGCCACGTAGGCTTTGGAGGCAATCAGAGGGGAAAGATCATTGGCTCTGGAACAGTAGGTAATGGAAATCTTCCCTCTATAAGTAATGTTTTATTAGTTGATGGATTAATGCATAACCTGTTATCCATAAGTCAATTAAGTGATAACGGTTATGATATAATCTTCAATCAAAATTCATGCAAAGCTGTTAGTCAGAAAGATGAGACTATCCTATTTAATGGAAAGAGGAAAAACAACATCTATAAAATCAAACTTTCTGAACTGAAAAGTCAGAATGTAAAATGTCTTTTGTCTGTTAACAACGAGCAATGGATCTGGCACAGAAGATTGGGACATGTTAGTATGAGAAGAATATCTTAGATTAACAAACTCAATCTGGTCAGAGGACTTCCTAACTTGAAGTTCAATTCAGATACTCTGTGTGAAGCATGTCAGAAAGGAAAGTTTGTAAAACCTGCTTTCAAATCCAAAAATGTTGTTTCCACCTCTAAGCCATTAGAACTTCTGCACATTGACTTATTTGGACCAGTAAAAACTACTTCAGTCAGTGGCAAGAAGTATGGGTTAGTAATCGTAGATGACTATAGCATATGGACATGGGTAAAGCTCTTAAGGCACAAGGACGAGTCACACTCTGTGTTTGTTACCTTCTGCAACCAAGTTCAGAATGAAAAAGATCTTAGAATCGTCAAAGTCAGAAGTGATCATGGTGGTGAATTTGAAAATAAAGATTTTGAATTATTCTTTAATGAAAAAGGCATTCTGCATGATTTCTCTTGTCCTAGAACTCCCCAGCAAAATGGAGTTGTAGAACGAAAGAACATAACATTGCAAGAAATGGCCAGAACCATGATCAACGAGACTAACGTTGCTAAGATCTTCTGGGCAGAGGTAATAAACATAGCGTGTTACATTCAGAATAGAATCTCCATAAGACCTATTCTAGAAAAGACTCCATATGAATTGTGGAAGAACAGAAAGCCCAACATTTCCTATTCCCACCCATTTGGATGTACATGTTTTATTTTGAATACAAAAAATTATTTGAACAAGTTTGACTCTAAAGAACAAAAGTGTATTATGTTAGGATACTCTGAAAGCTCA